CAAAACCCTCTGGCTGTGTGACATAAACATCCTCCTTAAGATCACCATGAAGGAATGCTGTTTTTACATCCAAGTGATGTACTTCCCAGCCGTGAGATGCAGCTAAGGCAATGATGAGTCTGATTGTTTCAATCCTAGCAACTGGAGCAAACACTTCGTCATAGTCTATACCATGTTTCTGTACGTACCCCTTTGCTACGAGCCTTGCCTTGTACTTATTCACGCTTCCATCTGGATTTCGTTTTACTTTGAACACCCATTTTAGCCCAATTGGTTTAACTCCTACTGGTAGATCAACTAAAGACCAAGTGTGATTCTTCTCAATCGATTTTATCTCGTCTTCACATGCTGATATCCATACTTTCATTCCTTTAGCCTCAGAGAAATTCCACGGTTCATCGTTAATTGCCATGAGAAGTGTCTCACATTCTGCTTCTGCCAAAAGAATATAATCAGACAGATATTCTGGAGTTGTTCTTACTCTAGTTGACCGTCTTAGTTGAACTTGTTCATGCTGCTCTTCTTCCTCATCTGAAATCTCTATCACGTCATGATCAATCTCTGCAGGAACAAGTTCTTGCTCTACTCTACCATCTCCTTCAGACTCCACACCAAAACCAATATCTTTCAGTCCTCTGTTCCCGAATTCTCCAAGATTAATGCTAAATGAGCCAACATCAGTTTCCTTTGTTTGACTGTTCCAGCTCCATCCTTCGTCCTCCAAAAACACTACGTCACGACTTACTACAATTTTCTTACTCCCTGGATCATAAAGACGATAGGCCTTGGTCCCTGGTTCAGTTCCAAGGTGAACTAGAGCTCGTGACCGGTCATCTAGCTTCTTGACGTGAGGAGCTTCTACCTTCGCGTACCCAATACAGCCAAAGACTTGGAGATGTGTAATGTTAGGCTTGTTTCCTTTGAACACTTCGTAAGGAGTCTTGGCAAGTAGTGATCTCGTTGCAACCCTGTTTATGATATATGTGGAGTGCCTTACTGCCTCTCCCCACATGTAATTTGGAACTCCTCTGTGCTTGAGTATACTCCTGGTCATCTCCAAAATTGTTCGGTTACGCCTTTCTACCACTCCATTTTGTTGAGGAGAATATGGTGCAGTCAAGTGCCTCTGGATGCCATTCTCTTCACAGTAGGTGTTGAACTCTTTGGATGTAAACTCACCACCCCTATCAGTACGAAATGTTTTGATCGAGAGAGTAGTTTCTGCTTCAACTGTTGCCTTGAATTTCTTGAATTTTGTAAACGCATCACTCTTCTCCTTCATAAGAATTGTCCACATATACCGGGAGTAGTCATCGATCAAGACAAACACATATCTGTTTCTTCCAATCGTTGAGGGAGTGATTGGACCACAGAGGTCACCGTGTATGAGTTCTAGTCTCTGAGTAGCTCGGAAAGTGGTTGCAGAGGGAAAGGTTTGTCTTGGTTGCTTACCAAGCAAGCATGAAACACACGTTGTCTTCTTCACATTGATCTTTGGAATTCCTATGACTAACTCCTTATCAACCATCAGTCGCATGTTTTCAAAGTTAATATGCCCAAGTCTTGCATGCCACTTGTGAGAAACGTCTGTTGTTATGACCTGCAGGCATGATGGACTATCAGAGTTTAGTGTCACCTTATACAGTCTATTCCTTCCTCTGCCTGTTCGTATCAGTAGCTTCCCATCTCGATCATATAGCTCTAGAACTTCCTCCTTCATTCGTACCTCACATCCTGTCTCTGTAGCTTGTCCTAAGCTTATGATGTTGCTTCTTAGTGCTGGTATGAAGTACACATTTGACATTGTCTTTCTTGCTCCATTCTTTAGGACAAAACTGATTGAACCCTTCCCTTTTATGTCAATGCGGGAGTCATCACCAAACTTGACTTTCCCTGTTATGGTTTCATCAAGTTCAGTGAAGTAAGATCGATCTCCTGTCATGTGGTTGCTGGCTCCATTGTCTAAGTACCATATGTTGCCATTGTCTAAATTTGCTTCAAGAATATTAGGCTTCACCTTCTCCTCATTAAGAAAAACAACTTCGTGCAACATCAACTCATCTGCTACTGGTGTATCTTCTTCTTTGGTCTCTTGTGCTATCTGTAACTTGAGTAGACGATCAGGACAGTCGTTTGCATAATGTCCCAATTTATCACAACGATAACAAGTGACGCTGGCTACATCACGGGCCTGATAGACGTATCGTCCACGTCCTCTTCCTCCTCTATTGAATGATCTTCCTCCGCGACCGCGACCTCTGCCATCACTGTTATATCCTCTGTTGTCTCCATTAGGGCCTTTGTTATCTCCATTGGTGCTACGAGTATACTGTTGATCCGAGTTAGTATACAGTAGTTTGTTCTGTTCCTCAGACACTCCTTCTGCTGCACTAATACGTTCCTCATACGTCTTGAGTCTACCAATTATATCCTCAAATCCTGTTGTATTGAGATCCAAGACTTGCTCCAATGGTGCAACAATATGTATATACTTCTTGGGTGGAAGGCTCTTAAGAAACTTCTTAACCAGTTTTGATTCCTCTATCTCTTCTCCCAAAGCAGCAGACTTAGAAGAAATCTCAGAAATCCTGCCTGTAAACTCGTCAATAGTTTCATTATCCTTCATCGTCATTCGGTCAAACTCTGCCATCAGTGTTTGTAAGTGAGCCTCCTTAACCCTGTCTGCACCCATGTGTCGTGTCTTGACAGCATCCCAAACCTTCTTTGCTGACTCTAACTCTCCGACTTGCAGAACAAGAGCCTCAGGTATCGATTGTACTAACAAGGCCATGGCCATGTTATTTTTCTCACCGTCTGTTTCTTCTATTCCATCCGCATCTATGATATCCCACACCTTATGTAGCTTCATCAGGATCTTCATCTTAATTGCCCATACCGTGTAGTTTGTGGCGTTTAGCATAGGGCACTTTATTGATGACGATCCAGTCTCCTTTGGCTTCGTTGTAGAAACCATAAGATCTCCCATGGTTTCAATATGCTTGCTCTGATACCAAATATTGAAACCAGAACTTGATATTGTTTGTGTATGCAACTGAATAAGAATCACTCTCTTATAAATCTCAAGGAAAAACTAACTCAAACAACCTTGAGTCTTTCAATCATACACTCGTAAACCTAATCATAACTCGATAGGTTTACTTATATAGCTAACAAGATAATCCTAACCATAAACCGACATATGTTGTAGATAACTCCTAAACATATTTGTACTTATCTCAAATCTCAACAAGATTAGGATTACTTGTATCGCAAGTCTTCATATTTCTTCACTTAACTTCAAGCTTACTCCAACAAGTATCCGTTCTTTTCTTCTTCTCATACGACAGCAAGAGAGAGAGACTAAGAGCAGCTCGTGTTTTCAGCCGATACACAGAAGCAACACCAAAACCAACAAAACCCAAAATGGGGAGCCAAATCTTGTAAGTGCTCAAGGAAAGTGATAAGAAATCGAAAAGGAAACCGGGTCTACCCGAAGCACCAACCAACATGCTTGATGATAGCAAGAGAGGTATGCCAAAGAAAGGGCTTACATTTGATCTAGCTGGAAGTGCAGATATACTTGTCATTGCTTTTTCATTTGTGTTCATAAGTACTGTGATGTTTGCTACTACTTTTGTTGTGTGGAAACTAGGCGCCATTGACTTCAATGAAAACTAAACCGGTTTTGAGTGTATACTCTATCGTAGTAGTAGTAGTAATAAACATAATTTCGCTATTACAACATCTTAGTCATGCTTTATTTTCCGTTTTGACCATTATCACATTGTGCTGTCTTGTCTCTTTATAAAACAGCTATGGAAATAGATTGATTATACACCAAGAAATGGCTAATGTATCCATATATTTGAACTGTTAGTTATGTGAAACCTGTACTTGCTCAAGATGAATCATGATACCAAAAAGGGATATATATTACCCTCATCTGCAATTCCTTTTACCAGAATTTTTGAGTCCTTAATATAAGACTAGCATAGATTTATACATACATATAGGCCTAAAGAGTATTAACAAGTTCAAAAGAGACTCAGAAAACCCCCCACACAGACTTCATATTCATAATACTTACAGATGCGTTACGAAGCAGCGTACTACTACTCCTTTTCACGCAGTTGACAGCACTTCAAGCTCTGCCCACCAAAGAGGTGAAACTTTTGGAATAGCATCATCAGGTGACAACCCTGTGATCTCTCGTAACCTCCCTGTCACTTCCTTCATTGTCGGTCTCTCTTTCGGGTCTACCCTTACACAGCTTTTGATCACTTCTCCTATGTTCTCAATCTTATCATCAAAACATTCCAGCGTCAGATCCACCATCTCCCTTAGTGTCTTTCCTCTCAAGAACTCAGCCAAACCGGTATCTAACGAGTCACCTTTTTTAACAGACTCTTGGAGTTTACCAGTCATCAACTCGAACAAAAGTAAACCGAATCTGTGTACATTGTCTCCTTCGGTTGTGACTATGAGTGCATTGGTGCTGGCTTCTCGCTCGGATGGGTCTTTTAGGTAGCCAAAATTGAAATCTGCTATTTTGACTGCATAATCCTCTGTGAGGTGAAGTGTTGATGAGAGAAGATTGCTGTGGACTATAGGTGGATTGAGACCGTGCATATGGTCAAGGCAATATGCTACACCCATTGCTATTCTTAGCCTCATTATCCAGTCCAAATGTTCTGATTCTTTATCTGCAAAAGAATCTCGTTAAGTAAAATGACACAACTAATGTTGAGTAAAGATTTTTGTTTTGTTTTGCTTACAGTGTAAATGTTCAAAGACTGATCCGTTTGATGCATATTCAAAGACTAAGATCCTAGTGAAAGGTTCATCTTCTTCACAGTAACCAAGAAGGTTGACAAAGTTCTTGTGGTTAATCTTAGATAACATTTCAATCTGAAATTATCAAAAAACATTAAAAGATAAGACAATGACCCTTTTGGAAAAGAGAAGTTGAATTAGTTGATGACAGTAGTTACCTTCTTTCTGAACTGCATTTCTATGTTATTAGTCCATTCTTTGGCAGAAGCAGTAGCAACAGAAGCCACAGCTATCTCCACTCCACTTGATAGTGTCCCTTTGAACAATGTACCAATGGGGCATGACCCAATGACATTACTGAACTCTTCACATGCAGCTTCTATCTCAGATCTTTTCAATTTTGGGACACCTGAGTAAGATAAATCAGACAACGTTAGTGTCACAACAATGCAGAACAAACAATGCCAGTTAACAAAAATGTATCAAGCGTGTAAGAAAAGTACCACTTACCAGTTATGAACACTTTCTGAAGTTGTCCACTAAGACCTGTTCTCCAAGGATTAACAGATTTGCCAGCCTTGCTTTTGAAAAAGAAGACACCAGTAGCTAAAAGAAGAAGGATAGCACCGCCTGTGCAGCCAGCCACAAGAGGAGCTTCATTGCTTGAAGAACTTCTTCTACTTATTGTAGGAATATTTGAAAGGGACACAGAAGGAGGTGGAGGGGATAAAACATGCAGGGCAGGTGGACTTTTCCGTGGTGGATGCGATGCTGAGGATCTACTGGTCTTAGGCCTATGAGAAGGAACCACCGAAGATGACGGTGGTGTAACAGATGCCACAGGGCGGTGGTTCTTGTAGGAACTCAAATGCGTGTAGGGGTTACGGAAACGACCTAGTAACTTCCTGTGGAAACTAGCAGTTCCCCTACATAAAAGAAAAGACCAACGTAAGAATGAAAATGAGTACAAGACAGAGGAATGAACATGTAGCAAGCCTTGTAAATATAAATAAACATGAAGACAGTGTCTCTCTTCATGTTGTGTAAGTGTAACCACTAAGAACAACTTTAATCCGTATTCTACAAATCGTTTTAGGCACTGCGCCCACCTGTCTACACTGCCTAGACACCTGCCTAGACAATAATCTTCTATAAAACGCCTAACTATCGCTTATAAATTTTAGAACATTGCATCTAATATTTATCTCTGTTCCAAAAATGTATGTTTTAGAGTTTATATGCATAATAACAAAATAACTTAAATTTACATTATAAATACATTATTTTGTGTTTTAACTACTTTTCATAATTTTAATCAATTAAATGTATTCATATAAAAATATATCTTTTTACAACATTTTTTTTTATCATTTTGAAATCGAATGAGTATTCCGCAAGAATATCAGTTAACTCAAACAAATATAAAAGCAGAACTGGCTCTGAAACTTTAGAAAACCAGAAACTGTTATGAACTAGGAACTAAATAGTAAATATCAATACATATATTTTTGTTAATTAATATGGACGCCTAATAGTGTATATATAATACGCTAATGTCTCATCTCGCTATGCAAATCCTAGATCTATCATTCCAACTACATTGATGTTGATACTCAACAAAAACAAAAAAAAATCATTTTCAACTATAAAGTAAAATAGCAATAACAGAAAAATCTGATACTTACAAATCTGCTGCATCTCTATCAGTCTGTAGATCTTTCAGCACCGCTACACTTTCAGTTTCCAACGAATCGAAGATCAAAATAACTAGCAACACCATGAGAGTAAGCATCTGGAGCCTTAATCGTACGGATTTCCAATTCTTACTCATCGTGAACTTAATAGGAGTTAAGCAACACCAAGAATGCTGATAAGAAAATCAAACCTCGGATCTGAATCTTTGAATGATCACAGATTATAAGATGAGAGAAAAACCTGAAAAGAAAAAGTAAGCTAGCTAGAAAACGAATAGAGAGAGAGAGAGAGAGCGCTTTGAGTTTTGAGTTCGCGTGGCTTTGTGAGAGCAGCGACATGACTTTTCAACTTTGTCTTTTTAGTTTTTACTTATTACAAACTTAAATTGTTTTTAAAGCGTGTGTCCCCTTGGTTTGACCCAATAAATAAATTCAAAAAAAACGCAATAACTTCATTAGATAAAGTTATATTCAACGGTAAGAGAGAACAAGATCAACACTTCTCGCTGTAAAAAGGTAATGTGATTATCTCAGAGTTTGTGTAAAAAATAAAAGCGTGTAGGTAGAATTGACCAGTACATTGCGTTCTTATCATATACTAAAAAGATAAAAATGATCTAACATGGAAAGAAAAGAGAAGAATCTATGGGACCTTAAAGATGCCATGCGGCTGAACAAAAAGGACTCAAAAGAAGAGGCCAAAGCCATCACCGTCGAAAAAGACTTCTACCGTAGCCTGTCGACATGTCTTGCTTTTATTTTGTGTCCTGTTGTCTAACGAGAATAATAGTGGGGTTTATGTGTCACGTGGTTTTTTGTTTTTTCTGATGTTGGATGATTGAAGTTGAATAATTGACTGATTGTGTTATGGTCTTTGCGGATTATTAAAAGATAATTCATTTCCATTATTACACTAAAGCACATATTGAACTTGATTTACATTTCCTCTAAATGTAATCTAAATGCAATTGGTATTAGGATTATACTAAAAGGATTTAGATTAAAATGACTAAATAAAATAAAATAGTGTATACGGCTGACCACTTGATCTAACGGTTTGGCCGTAATCTGAAAGCCATCAGGTTTGATTTGATGAAGAGAATGACCGAAATCATTATAATATCTCTATCTAATCTACTCCCTCCGTTTCATATTAAGTGTCGTTGTAGAGAATTTTATGCGTTACAAAATAAGTGTCGTTTTTGGTTTTCAACGCAAAATTTATTAATTTTATTATGTAATTTGTTTTTCTATTGGTTAAAATATGATTAGGTGTATCGGTAACTGTATTTTTATATAGGAAATATGTAAAATTAATTGTTTGCTTAATCCGTGTGCACAGCTGCAGAGTGACACTTATAATGAAACAGAGGGAGTATTAAACTAGAGTTATATTTGAGATTACCATGGCATGTTTTAAATTTGGGCTTATTGAATAATTTGTGAATAAATAAACAAATATGCTACATATATGTTGTAACATAAGTTATGATTTTATTCATATCTCTCTAATTAAATTAAACATATTCTTCAAACAAATCATATGCCGTCTTCGGGGAAAATGAGCTTTTTATTCCCCAACTTTTTCAAATCAGCAGTTTTAATCTTCATCTATTGGTTACGCACATTTATTCCTCATCTTATTATTATCTGCGCAAATTTGGAATTAACAAAATTAACTGTTAACTCATCATTAAACATCGTTAAATAAAATCATAAGTGATCGTGTTTCTGATTATCAAACTCAGAAAGTCCCAAATTGATCAAACCTAATTGACTCTTCTCCCTGCCATTGTCGACGCAACAGAACTCCGACGCGATGGTAAATACTTTCACCGGAATACGGGAAGGAAGACGCAATAAGAAAGCCATCAAATGACATAGATGTTGAAGTTCCTGCCTCTACAGAGACTGGAAGAGTGAAGACTATCAGTAACGAAGAGAGAGATAAGGTGGTTGAAGGTGTGACGATAATGGATGGAGAAGAAAGGCTACTATCCGTGAAGGAGTGACTGAAAGAGTGAAAACTATCATCACAAGTTCAAACTTCTCAAGCATCACAAGGATTTGATTTCTCTTCTTAACTTGTGTTCTTCAATATTTGTAAAACATGATTCTGGTTTTGTTTGAATTTCATGTAATTAATCTTTATGCTGGCTGTGTGAAACACGGATCTCTTTTGTTAGGATTTCATGTCTCGGCGTGAACAAAATTATGTACTTTTGGGTTTGTAGAATAAAATATAAACTTGTCTTTTAGTCATTATGTTATTAATCTCCAATTTTTTTTTCAGATTCTTTATTTTGCTAAAATAAATTTTGAGACACAAGAGTTTGCAGGTTCTTATCGTCAATAATGTTGAGGAATCAATTTTGATGGCTTTCTGAGTTTATTAATCAAAACACGACCAAGTTTGATTTATATTTAATAATGTTTAACGGTGAGTTAACAGTTGATTTTTTAGTCCAAATTTGCGCTGACAATGATAAAATGAGGAATAAATTCGAGCAACTAACATATGGGGATTAAACCTGCTGATTTGAAAAAGTTGGGGAATAAAAAACCCATTTTCCCGCCGTCTTCGTCCAGATTTTTGTAGATTACTGAAAAGGAAGAGGAACTTAGGTGGAGATTGATAATTCGAGAGACTTCAAAACCTAACTGATAATTCATCCCTCGAGCCTTTCATATGATTCACGTTATATCAATTTAAACTGGAGTTAGGGTGTTTTTTTTTCTGGTAAGATGGAGTTAGGGTTTTGAATCTGGATATAGGTAGATTGGCTGGCTGATTACGTACGTTTTCATCAATGGGGCATCATAAAGTTTTGGCTTTTGGTCAAGTTTGTATCTGCTATTTTTGTAACTAGGCTCGATTTCATTAATGGAGCATCACAAATTCACTGTTTCATATTCAAATATGGTTTGCTGACAGATCTATCAGTTTGCAACTCCCTGCTTACAAATGTACAGCTACTTCTCTGATTTGTACTGTTAGTTTAGAATGTTTGAAGATTCTAGAAACAAAGCAGATTATGTTTCTTGGAATGCTATTCAGACGGCATGTTTGCAACAAGAAAGTCAGCAGAGGTGTTGAGAATGTTTAAGATGATGTAATCCAGATCACATAACCATGTGCATTCTGTTACGTGCTTGTGTGAAAATTTCATCCTGAAACTGGAAATCAAATCCATTGCTATACTCTTGGTTGGAGAGGGACGATATATAAACAGTCCTGCAGAATTTTGGTTGGAGATGCTTCATGAGTGTAAGCTGCAACACAAGAAAAAAATCCAGTTAGAAGATAAAGGAACTTTCTTCTCTTACGGTAACATTAGAAGTGTTTGCTAATTGCTCTGTTTATTTTTTTTCTTTGTTACATTTGTAGCTGAAGCTGAAGTTTAATACATGTCCATTTAAGTTTCCAAGAGTAAACCTTTTTGTAATCACATTCAAACCTTAGAGAAGACAACTTCTTATATGTCTTCAAGTGAGATCATACAGACTTATGAAACACAGAAAAACAAAAACTTATTAAAACAAACCAAAAATTATAAGGACTCAAATTTTGGTGACCGATCATAAACTTTTATCCAGCTTTGAACAAGGCAGGGACAGGGAGTGAAGGTAATGTGGGTTTTGTTCTCTAGGCATAGGGACTCTGCTTCAGCTTCTCCCGCTTGAGCTTTTTGCCTTTACTTCGAACCACGCTTTTTCTTTAGAATTAATTTTTTTGAGACAAGGAACACAACAAGGAGACCATTCTTGAACTGCTAACCAATATAAAAAAAATGAAATAATGTTCCATTACATAATAATGGCACTCTGATAATTTCAATGTTAAAAGGTAATGAAACTCGAAACTAATAAATTATATAAAAACAAAAAAAAACGGTTAACATTATTAACTATTTTAATTATTTCAAAATAACTATTTTATAATATAATTTAAAACAATATAGTATTAAAACAAAATTACCTCCTTAAAATAAAGAAAATAATATCACAATTCATCTGCAAGTCAAACCACTAAAATACTACATATGAAACATTATACATTATAAACTAACATTATGTAAAACACATTTTATAATACAAATAAATTCTTGACATGTAAAGAAAATATCTTATATTATATGAATAAAAAATATATATATATATTACATCCACATAGCACAAATATAAATCACAAAGCTAAAAATTGTATAACATAATCTGAATTAGGCATGAACACATTTATCCAGAACCAAGGAACAAAATAAAAGTATATAGTTCAGTTTATCCAGAACTAAAATGTATATTATATTTAATAAAAAGACACCCGAATTTTATGACATTTAAACCAAAATTAACCAAAACAATGGAATTAAACCGGGACCGAATGAGATATGGAACTATCTAGGATATTAGCCAATTCCTATCCTTTTATTAGGATCAAAAACCGAATAAAATTAAACCAGAACCAGACTGGATTTTCTAAATATCCGAACAAATCTTAATTACCTATAGAACCAAACCGGAACCAAAACCAATAACCAAATGTCCATAACTAATCCAAATAAATTTAATGGAAGTATGACAAAACAATATCCGCGCATAGCGCAGGTCTGGATCTAGTTATCATTATGTCGAGGTGTAGCGTATTCTAACTTCATCCTTACATAATTATGCTGTCTATGCGTTCACACGTTGACCTAATTTGTTATTTACTTCGACGTTGGCATATACGCATCATTATTTCTTTTTTTTTCTTTAAACCAAAGATTGCATGTACTTTCATGTGAATTTTGCTTAAAGAAACTGACAGTCTTGCGGCACAATACCTTACCCCACTATAAGGTGATCTAAGATGGGCCACAGGTTGCCAATAAAGGGCAGTTTCCCACCATGACTTTTGTAATTTGAAATTACTAATTTCATAATGAAGTTTTAAGATTTTAGAGCATGTTTATTGGGGGTGTTTAATGAGGGTGCTTAAGGGAGTGAAATGCTTAGTTTTGAAGAGAGAGAGTGTTGAAAGTGCTTAATTAAGCACTTTCAACACTTTCTCCCTTCAAAACTAAACACCCTACTTCTCTAAGTATCCCCTTAAGCACCTTCCCAATAAACATACTAATGGATCATGGATGCCGCTGTATATATATTATATTTTATAAGTACATTATACTTTTACCCTGAATTAAAACAATTTCTAATATCAGGCACTGGTCACAGGGACAACACCACTCAACATCAGTAATTGTTGGTGTGCACCGACTGATAGCATAGGGTTTGGATTCTCCGTAAAAAAAACAGCATTTCATATCCAGACAATAGATAAAAAATGTGAATAAAACGATGATGTTCAACGACATATGGCTGCAATAGA